TCATTGCTGTGTGCTTGTCCGTAAAGCACACCCAGGGTCGTAAAGCATAGCGCCACCAGCTAACTTCTGATTGGTTCCTTGTCACGAGGCAGGCATCTGACTTTCTAGTGACTAAGACAAGGTCATAGAGCACGTGTTTGGCCCTTATGGCTGCCAGAAGGGAAGCTGGTCCTTTCAATGCCTGCCCCTTCGGCAGCCATAACGGCCAAACACTTGCTTGTTTGCAGACATAGAAAAATTCATCCTGAAATCTAAAAGGAATCTCAGAGGATTTAAAACATCAAAAACCATCTTGAAAGACACATGCTGCCTGATTTGAAAACATATTAGTAATCTACTGTAATCTAAATGTGTTGTACTAGCATAGATTCAAACAGACCAAAGGAAAATAGCACAGAACCAAGAACATATAAAAATTGTTGACATTTGATGTAAATAGGGAAATTATCTTGACAATTGATGTAAACAGGGCAAATAATCCCTTCAATGAATAATGTTTAGAAAACAAGATTACATAAATTATATATAATTATATAAAAACTCAAATGGTTTAAGTAGATAAACACAAAACCTAAAATTATAAAATCCCTGTAAGAAAAGATGAAATACCCATGACATTGTACTTCGTAATGGTTTGTGACAACAAAAAGTAAGATAAACAGGACCACATAAATCTAAAATGTTTTTACAACCAAGGTTATAGTTGACAAGATAAAGGGAAAATGAGAGTAGCGATTTGAATAAGAATAGACCCCCATACATTTGAGTGCTTAGTTTCTACTTGGTCGAACTGTTTAAGAAGGACTAGGAGGTGTGGTATTATTGGACAAGATATGTAAATGGACATGGGCTCTGAGATTTCAAATGCAGTCAGTTCTTTCTTTGCCTCCAATTTGTGGATCAGGATGTAAACTCTTGGCTACTGTGGCCGTCTCCCAACTGTCATGCTCCCCAACATGATGATTATAGACTAACCCTCTAAAGTCCAATAAATGTTTTCTTTTATAAATTGCTTTTGTCATGGTGTTTCTTCATAGCAATAGAAAAATAACTAAGACAGAAATTGGTGCCAGGAAGTGGGATGATGCTGTGACAGGCCTGACTACGCTCTGTTTTAGAACAATGTGGAAGATTTGGGACTCTGGACTATGAAAGTGGCCGAATGCTATAAGCAGGCTTAATGTCATTCTAGTAGGAGCTTGGAAGACAGCAGTGGTGAGAGCAGTAAGACAATGGAGGCCTGGCTCAAGAGGATTCAAGGGGGAACAATATCAGCTACTGAATTTAAAGACTGTACTTGTGATTTTAGACATAGAATTTAGATTCTTTAAATTGTTTCCTTGTCCTAAGAATGTCCCCAAGCCTCAACTGAAGAGTTTTGAATTCATCTCATTGGCAGAGAGATTTCAAGAGAATCTGATATCTCCACTAACACTGATTACTGTTATGTATATCTACAATGAAAATCTGTTCTGAAAAAGCAACAATAAATCAAAGCTTCTGCAAATGTAATTTAAAGAGGCAGCCAGCTTCCACCCCAAGCAAAAAGTAGCACTTGGTAGCATTGGCCACATGATTCTGGGTTTAGAGTCATGCAGCACACAGAGGTAAAGGGTTTGTGGATGCTTCCTCTATGGTTTAGGAGTGCCTCTGAGGGATTCTGATTCACTGCATTGAAGTCCAGAGATCCATTCTGTGAAAGTGAAAGTGACCCCTGGATTTCATGGGAAACTCTGAGATAGATATTCGAGATGCCAGAAGTATGAAGACAGAAAATGGAACCAGCTCAAGAGGAAGAAGCCCGTTGCAATCAGCAAAGCGGAAGGTTGAGCCATGGAGCCCTTTGACATCCAGTGGAGAGCTACAGGGTTAGGGGTTTGCCCTGCTGGGTTCCAGTTTCCCGCTGATCTAGTATTTCTGCGCTGTGTGCTTTTTTTCCCTTTTGGAAAGGTATATTTGTGTTTACTGAATCTTGAAAGTCTGTAATTTTGTTGTTTTGATTTTACAGAGGATTACAATTAAGAGATTTCCCCATGTCTCAGAAGAGACTTTGGACTTTGGACTTCTAAGCAATCTTGAAACTGAAAGATTATGGAGACTTATGAAGTTTAATTTAATGCATTTTGTATTATGGTGTGGCCACAAACCTATGAGGTCATGGAGTGCAATGTGGTGGTTTGAATGAGAGTGGCCCTGTTGCATAGGCTCATATTCTTGAGTGCTTGGTCCCAGTGGCTTGTTTTCAAGTGAATAAGAGTTGAGGTCTTGAAGTGAAATACCAATACCGAGGCAGGTATATAGGGTATTTGCTTAGGAGTGCCCTACTTACTCAGAACAGTCTAGCCAACTGGCAGGGAATGAGGTAAGTAGAGCAAGCTGAAGGAGAAGGGGAAGAAGGAGCTCCCATGTGCGTGCCCCTCACTCTTAAACCTCCCTCACATCACCTGACCACGCCCTAGCGGGCGTGGCCAGGCACGCCTGTAACCAGCCCCAAGCAGGTGGTTAGGGCATCCCCTACAAGGTCTTGTTGGAGGAAGTGAGTCAATTAGAGATTTCAAAAGGCCACTCCTTTCCTAATTCTTCCTCTGCTTCCTTGTGAATCAGGGTGTAAGCTCTGTACTCCTGGTCCAGAGCCATGCCTGCCCGCCAGCTGCCGTGTTCCCCACGATGACCCTGGGCTGTAGGAATCGAGAACTGTGAGCCCGAATAAACGTTTTCTTTTCTAGGGAGCACAACGTCAGTAATGATCATGAGGATTAAAGTGAAAACAGTGAGGAAAGACTCCTGACTTCCAGTTTTTCATGAAGGAACTTGAAAGTTTCCAGTTGACCCTCACACAAACACCCGTGCGAACCAGCTAGAAACCAAACACTTCTTCTAGGCTGTGCAAGAGAGGTGAGAACACAAGACAAAGACATACTCCCCAGCACTGGAAAGACAGCGGAGAGAGGGCAGGAAGCCATGTTTCCTGGTAGCCCAGTTCAGCACCGCTCTCCCACCATGGTGTGGCAGCCTATTTGATTACATTGTGAACTCTGAAACTGAGTTAATTAAATAAAATCAACATTAGTCAAGAGGCAGAGCTAGCAGCTGGTTGACAGGAAGTAGCCACAGAGAGTAAGAGGGAGTCGGGGAAACAGGTAGAGAAATACACAAGAAGGACTAAGGAGGCACTTTGAGTCTGATGGCTGTTGAATATTGGATCCCCGGTTACCTGATTCCTCTGCTGCAGATACAGTAAGCCACAAACTGGATTAATAAATCTACATTTAGAGAACAGGGCAAAGCAGAGCCCCCCGGGTGACTGTTAGGAAGGCAGGAAAGAGAACATGAGAGCACACCTGCAGATCTATTGGCCAGATCGTCAATAGTCTATAGGCCATCTTGTGCAGTTCCAGGGGAGGAGCGGCCAGATGGCAGACTTTCTCAGGGGTGGGGTCTGGATTGGGAGGAAAGGGGCTAGGTGGAGCTTCCCAACATCCCAATCTTTTTGGGTATATATGGACACAGGTTTAAGTCTGGCTTCTTCCTGCTGACAAGGGATGACATGGGGAGGGGGGGAGTAGACAGTTGGTGGGCTCACCCCCAGCTGCAGGTATGGCTGAAGAACCATTCGATTAGCTGCCATCCTGGAGACCTCAAGCATCTGTTCCTTGAAGGAGCTGAGAAGGCCAGTTACTAGAAGAAATAATAGATTGCTGTCATCCCCATGAGTTGGGGGGGGGGGCTAGCCACGGGCAGAGTGACACTGCTAGAAAGAATGAAATGGAGAAGTGCTATACTTGGTGGTATAGAAGAGGCACGGATGAATGAATGAGATGCAAGAGCATGCCCTTCATTATGACATCTTGGGAAACCAGGTTTCAGTTCCCTGTTCGAGCCTGCAGAGGCAGTGCCAGAAGCAATGGGGGAATTTATGGGCACCCACACCCTGAGACATTATCACACCTTTCTGACCCTGCACCTCACCAGCAGGCTAAAGGCTAACTTTGCCCTTCCTGATCTGGAACATTGTGTCTGATTGTCTAGGAAAATCACAAGGACAAAACATGTGACTGGAAGATCAAGAACAACCTTTAGAAGAAGACGTGTCAGGGTTGAGGAATTAAAACCAATGAGACATCACCTCCTACTATTGGATGACTAAACTAAGAAGACCGTTTCCCCACTAAGTGTGGGTGAGAATGTGGGGAATTGAAATCATTATTCATTGTGGTGGGGAAAAGATAATAGTGTTACCACCATGGAAAATTGTGCTAAACAAGATAGAGGAGGGAGGGAGGAAGGGAGGGAGGGAGGGAGAGAGAGAGAGAGAGAGAGAGAGAGAGAGAGAGAGGAGAGAGAGAGAATAGTTTGGAATGTTAAAGTTGGGCAATGATGATGAACTCCTTTAATCCCAGAACTCAAGAGGAAGGGGCAATCTCTTTGAGTTCCAGGTCAGTCTGGTCTTCAGAGCTAGTTCTAGAACAGTCAAGGATACACACAGAGAAACCCTTCTCAAGAACAAACAAACAAAAAACAATATCTACAACCAGATTTCTGGATATATGACTATAAATATTGAAATGTTTATAGTCTGCTATGTTCCCCCCCACCAAAATTAATCTTGAAATTGGATTCCATCAAATAGTAATAAGAAGTGAGAAATCCTCTATGAAGCAGTCCACTACAGATGTTTTGCCAGGTGTACATATAGATAAAATAATTTCAAAATATTAATTTTTATCTTTGTGGAACAGTCACCTCTCAGCCTTGGTCAGACAAGTCTCTTTCAGAAATAGATGTGGGACAAAGTGGGGAATCATAGATGGTCAAATATGGAGAATAAGTAACTGCTCAGCTTCCAAAAAGACATCTATGTCACCTCCTTCAAGACCCAGAGGATAGAGTGGAATAGGGGTGGAGGGACTGATTGTAGGAGACCAGGATGAGGACGATTGAGATGGGATGCTGTCTTCTGGACGTGGCGTAGCCATTGTGAACACAAGCTTGCAAGGGAACCTGGGTGCAGGGGAGAAGAGAAGGAAGGGAAAGAAGAAAGGAAGAGAGCGGAAATAAGGGAGAATGGGGAAGAGAAATAAAGGTAGATAGAGGGCAAGCTGAGAAGCACAGAGAGTCAGTGGGAGTAGAAGGGTATCAGAAAAAGGAGTAAGATGTAAATGTGATCACAGCACCTTTTACGCAAGCATACAGATATGTAGGCTGGTTAATTTTATGTCAGCTCGACACAAGCTAAAGTTATCTGAGAAGAAGGAACCTCAATTAGAAAAATGCATCCATACAATTGGCTGAAGGCAAGCCTATAGGATATTTTCCTAATTAGTGATTGACAGGGGAGGGCCCAGTCCATGGTGGGTGGTGCCATGCCTGGGATGGTGGTCCTGGGTTCTACAAGAGGGCAGGCTAAGCAAACCAGGAGAAACGAGTGAATAACCAACACTGCTGCGTGGCTTCTGCATCAGCTCCTGCCTCCAGGTTCCTGCCCTGTTTGGGTTCCTGTCCTGGCTTCCTTTGATGATGAATAGTGATATGCAAGTGTAAGTAAATAAGCCCTCTGCTCCCCAAGATGCTTTGGCCATGGTGTTACATCACAGCAGTAGTAATCCTAAATAAGACAACATTATCAAATACAAAAATATAACATTTTAAAAAGAAAGGGGGCCTTTGGGGAAGTGACTAAGTCATTACTCACAAACGAAATAACATTTTATACAGGATTAAACCAACTTCAAGATCATTTTGTCATTTTACTGAGTCCTGCTGTGTAGGGACAGAACATTTCATCCCTCTGCCTTTTCATCCCCTTCTAGCATGTAAAGTGGCAGCAAGAAAGTCCTCACTAGACACCAGAGGCGAGGAAGGTGATACCTGTGCTTTTATACTGTAGTTCCACACCACTGTCCAAGGTAGGTCAAAATGAAGATGGATCCCGGGTGTTCAACAGCAGATGGTTGGATAAATTCACCAGAGAGATGGCTCAGCAATCGGGAGCACAAGCAGCTCTTCAAGAGGACCTGGGTTTGATTCCCAGCATACGCATAGCAACTCACAACCAACTGTAACTCCAGTTCCAGGGAGTCTGACACTTCTTCTGGCCTCCCTGAGCACCAGATCCAAGGGTGCACAGACAAACATGTTGGACAAATTAATATTTTAAACTAAATGTTTAATTATTTGTGTGGGTGTCTTTTCATCCCTCTCTATCGTCATGTCCGTCCCTCCCAGCCTCCCTCTCCCTGCTAACTTCTCTCCCTCCCTCCCTTCTTTCCTCTTTTCCTTCCCGCCTTCCTTCTGCCTGTCATAGGAACACCCTAACCACTTTTATGTTTTTCTATCTTTATATCCTTACCTTTAATGTAAATATAATTTCAGCTGCGTTTTGTCATTCTTGGTTATGTTCTGCTAAAACTGCATTATCCAGAACCATGGTAGAAAACCTGCAGTTTCTGTCATTGAACAGAATTCCATGCCCTCTCCTGAGATAGTTTTAACTACCAATTTGTCAGTATAATAAGCATAGGCCTCCCCTAAAAGGCATGAGAGAGAGTTTATTCTAAAGCCAAACATGGATGTCAATGGTCCAGTAACACAGGTTCAACTTACCCCCAAACTCTATGATCCAAAATGAATAGCAATAGAAAAGTGGATGTCATGAATCAAGCCACTTTTCAAATAGCTTGGAGGGAACTTCAGATGGACAGGTTCTAACAACACAGGGAAACCTCTGCTGTAGGTCTCGCATGCGACTGGTGGCATTCTTCACATTTTGGTTGGTGGGAGCGAGGAGCCTGTCAACACTTTTCAACCATGTTTCGCCTGTCCGCTGTAGGTATGTCAAGTCAGACACGGAGGTGCACAGCGAGTGGCTATCATTTTAAAGCTAAATTGTAACTGGGCTCCGGACCTGCAATATCCCTTCTTCTGCACAATTACTGAAGTTCTAACCAGGCAATCAGGGTTTGTAGAAGGGTCAAAGTGGGGTGCAATTTTAACTGCATAGAATTTAGTGAGTTCATTACAGGAAGTGATGACTTCAGTAATATATGTGTCTGAGATGTGCGTGTACAGGCATTAGAACATGCGTACTCACTGACTCTCCAGAGATAGACTTTTATTTCTAGTCATTGAGGTGGTCATGATGGAGTCTGAATCATGTCCTGTGTTTCCACTGGCATCAACTCACTCACTCCTTATATAGAAAATGAGGAACTTTGTCAGACATTCATGGGATTCCATGGATTGCTCCAATGTATTTGTCATTTCTAGTAAGTTTGCTGTATTAAAGTTTAGCTTCTCTTCTTGCTATCTATTCTTCAGGGATATCAACCTTACACTCACAACATCTCTTCCTTCTTTCAACAATCACCCTTTCATTGCTTTAACTTGGCTGGCAGGATCAACTTCATAGTCACCATTTCTAATGTAGTTCTCCTCTCTTTAGTCTTTATAGTCTTTCATATCTCTGCTAACCACGGAAGGCTCAATTATTCCCTCTACCATTGTGTTTTACTATTTTAATTCAAGCTGCTATGGGTGCTTTTTTATTGAAGTTTTGTCAGAGTTACTGGAGTATGAAGAGCTTTCCATATGAGTATGTTTTGCTTATCCTGAAATGTTCACTCTCATGTAAATTCTTCATCAACTTTCAGAATTGCTTTCCCCAGATTGTGATGTAGTTTTTGGTAAAAGAATGTCAGTGCTATGTCTATGCAAAATCCCCAAGCAAGCTATTCTTGTAATTACATGCAGTGTGCATGTCAGAGACCAGCGGCCTGAGGGTTCTGTCCTCCACCTGTTTGCAGCCAATGTGGGCAGACAGCAGCAACTGGAGCCCTCCAGTGTTCAGTCCTAGTGCAGACCTCAATGATCTTGGGGGTCAGCACTTGAGGGTTCAGTTCCCAGGATTCTGTCCTCTTAGTGCTTAGCAGAAGCCTGTGTTACAGCTCTCAACCCCAGGTCTGAGACCCTTGTCTGTGAAGACTTCTAGCTCTCTGAGACTTATGGCATCAAAGACCTGCTGTTTCTCTTCACTTGCTCCTTACAGCTCTTTATCCTTCTTCAGCGTCAGCCCTGCACCCCTTGTCCTCTTTCTCCTTCCCGCCTTCTCCCTCCTGTCCTAGAGTTTCACAAACTGAGCAGCTGCTGCTTTTTCAGCTGTCAATCATCAGCTGCCCTGCTATATTCACAGCATGGCCTGACCACACTCAGCTGTCTCTGCCTTCGCCATTCTGCTCTGTCATTCTGTGGCCTGTGCTGAAACCCCTGCTGTCAGCTATCCCTGCTGATTCTCCCCTGGTATTACCAGTACTGCCTGATCAGCTTAGAGAAGGCAAGAAAAACCCACTGCAGGGACTGATGTTGCAACACTCAGGATTGAAACATAGGAGGGCATCCATCAGACTTGATGAGACAGAGCAACATTCTTGAATAATTTGAGAAAAGTCACAGTCCCGGCCTTCAGTTTCTGACTAGTCACAGCACTTTGTGTAGGTCAATCATAGCCTTGACTTTTGCTCCAACCACAGTCTTTGAGGCTTCTGTTTGTGTGTGTGTGTGTGTGTGTGTGTGTGTGTGTGTGTGTGTGAGAGAGAGAGAGAGAGAGAGAGGGGGAGGGGGGGTGTGGGAATGAATGCCTGTGGATATTTGCTCTTGAGTATCGAGTGTGGGCACACATGCGGTAGAGTTCAGGTGGAAGACAGTACAGCTGTAGGCATTGTAAGCATGAGTCCTCTCACCCTTTACCTGGCTGGAAAGTGTCTTTTTAACTCTCCATTAGCCAGACTAACTGGCCCAGGGCCTTCTGATGATTGCCCTATCAATGACTCTCTTCTCGACATAGGGCCACACTGGGATTACAGATGTTTTCTTGCTGGCATTATCTGAGTGTTCCCCACAAGACTGAAATGCCAGTGGGTTGGTAAAGGGCTGAGATGTGAACCCCTCTGGAGACAGTTTAGGAAACAGCCTCTGCTTTGTTATACCTGAGCAACTCTTTTTATAATGGGAGCCTATGAACTGCGATTGGCTAACACATTACCTGGGATTGTACATTGAGTGATCATACCACTAAGGTCTTTATGTGGGAGACGCACATAAAGGAGACTGGAGAGTGCAGACTCTTCAGCAAGCCAGTTACAGGCTACTAGTGTTCTGACTTCTGGGAATACTCAGGAGCATGGTTGCCATGCTTCTTATTTAGAAGGGCAAGTGCCAGGTAAGCTGACTCCCAGGCACTGCCTACATTTTCGCCTGCAGTTCCCCCTCTGTATCAGTCTGCATTCCTAAGAGAAGAGCTTCCTGATCAAGGAGCTGAATACATCAACCAATACATGTTAGTTTGGTGTCTTTGTGTGACTCCTACAGTGGGAATGGGGTGTCTCTGACACTTTTCCATCTATTTTCTCACCCAGTCTTGATATGAGTATTTGTGTCAATTATTATTGTGTCTTACTATGCTGTGTTCAGTTGGTATCCCTAGGATGCTTGCTGTTTTCTGAAGGGAAATGGAGGAGGAATGGATTTAATGGAGAGGGCATACGAGGGGGTACTGTGAAGAGATGAGGGAGGGGAAACTGTAATTAGGATGAATTGTGTGAGAAAAGAATATATTTTTAAAAAACAAAAATGATTATGAAAGGCATGGGGAAAAACCAAGAGTAAAAAAAGATAGGAAATAATGCATACCTTTTAATAACTTGAAAACCCATGGATCAAATTTCCCAATCAAAGAAAACTGACAGATTGGATTAAAAGATAGGACACTCCTATTTATTGCTCCAAGAAACACAGCTTACCATCAAAGCCTGGCACAAACTTAGGGTAAAAAGATGGAAAATTGTAATTCTCCATCATCTAAATTTCAAAATTAAATTTTGGAACACCTTAGATAGTCTTTCTGTATTTGGATATGTGCTCAGAGTGTGTGAGGTCATTTGAGGGTGTGGTGGATGTGCTTTTATTTTCTGAGGAGAGGAATCACTCGCTGTTTTTCTCTCGGCAGTCTTGTTGGTTTCCATCCCCACCACGGTGGGCAATTTTCCTTTGTTACATATGCTCCTCAACATTTCCAAGTCTTCTCTTGTTTGGAAATTGGCAGAGGGCCAGGCTTGAACACTAAACAAACATTGACTTTTGTAGTGGCTTCTGGTAATGGTTAGATACATCACTAAACACTGACTCACATATGACAGGTGACTGTGAACACCTGTAACGATCCCAATTAGTCCTGATATCTGTAGCCTGTTGAGATACAGTGAGATGGGGCTTCCTGGTGCAATTTCACCTTCATAGCTTAAATGGATCTCAGTAGAATCCTGTCCAGTAGTAAGTTAATGTGGGAACAAAAGTGACAGAGATAGATAAATGCTTTTTGGGGGGTAGGTATCATGGGAAACCATCCCTGTAAGGTACCTTTAGGTTTACTCAATTTCTGATCTAACACCCGCATGCAATGAATTGACCCATCAAGAAGGACTCATCTCAATCTGAACAGCATCAAGAGATTGACAACAACTCCATCCCAAGAGACTGTGTGCACATTGTCAATTATGGAAATATTCCCTGCTGATTGGTGTTCTGTTGGTGTCATTGTTACCAGGTAACAACTTTGCCTCTATTCCCATCTTCTCACAGAAAGAATTTGGCCAAAGCACAATTTGAGCAGAAGTTTGCTTCACAAAGGAAACTAACTCAAAGTGAACGTACCTATCAGAGAAAGATTGGAGCAGGCTGGCCTAAAGGAGCTGGAAGTTCTTTGGGTTCTGCAAGGTGTTGTGGGTTAGTTGACTGCACTTTGACTCCCCAAGATTGTGCTAAAAAAGATTCATCTTGGATAAGAGGGTGGGGCCAGTCAATAGTTGACCAGAATTAGCAATAGTGAAGCCAAGAATAAAGACAGAAAATTCACACATGAAGGAGTAGGGAAGAACTGGGGGATTTTTGGTCTGGGACATGTGGAGAGAGAGGTGCTTGCCGTGTCTCTGGTTAAAAGAAAGGAGGGTCAATTGGTCACTCTTGTACTGCTGATTTGATCTATCCGGTTTTAATCCAAAAATCTGACTCCTGAGTCTTTATTGTTACTAAAACAACTTACATAACGCAGTATGTTGGTGTCCAATGCATGGTATGAGGTCATGCAGTGGGAGACTCCCCTTTCCCCCTCCACAGCCACTCCTCATGCAGCTTTCCCCATGGCCGCCCTTCCCCAGGTCGTGGGCTTCTCCCACCCTAGTCCCCCAGTGTCTGCTCCCAGGGCAATGCCACATGCATCCTCCACATGACAGTTTCTGCTCAGGCTTCTGCTGCTGCTAATCCTCCACACAGGCACATGGGACATTCCATTGCTGCCAGCTTCCACAGCTTCAGTGGCCTGATGCTAGCTCTGTCATCCAGGCCTCCTCCGTACCTGCACCCATGGCACCCTTACCTCCTGCCATGCTCCCACCCAAGTCCAAGCATCCACCATGCCAGCCTAGCAGTTTTGGTAAGACACAATGGAAGTCCAAAGAAATAATTTCCACAATGAGAATGGGGGAAATATCACAACGCAGGGAGTTAGGACTCTGTATAGTGCCACAGAGAATGGCTTTTTTTCTTCCTTTTTTTTGGGGGGGGGTTTCAAGACAGGGTTTCTCTGTGTAGCTTTGGAGCCTATCCTGGCACTCGCTCTGTAGAACCGGCTGGCCTCGAACTCACAGAGATCCGCCTGCCTCTGCCTCCCGAGTGCTGGGATTAAAGGCGTGTGCCACCAACGCCCAGCTGAGAATGGCTTTGAAATGGAAAAAATAAATGAAGGGATAACTAACTTAGCTGGAATTGACATAATGCCAGTCATAAATCAGTTTGGTAATTTATATTTTACCACTAACAAGTGATTTGCTAAATGTACAAAATATGAAAAATTGACTGATAAGATACAAGCCTTAGAAAGATTTAATGTTGATAAGATACAAGCCTTAGAAAGATTTAATGTTGATAAGATACAAGCCTTAGAAAGACTTACTAAGGAAAATAAGAAAACTATTCAGACACAGACAGAGGAACTTAGACCAGAACCTATCACACCACTGTCTGATGAAGCTGAAGAGGGGTGGTCCAGGGTTATTAGAACACCAACCTTAGTTTATCCAGTTACTATACAAGAACAACCAGTAGACAATAGGCAACCCAAAGGTTACGAAGAAATAAAATGGAATCCCATAGAGATATTAGATTTGAGGAGAATTATATGGTATGCATTAACTCTTTGTGAAGCAAATGTTGAATTCATGGGCAATTCAGAAAAGAGTTATCCCCCAAAACTGGAGAGATTAAACTACAGCAGTATTGGAAGCTGATCCTCAGTTGTAATTGAGAACATGGTAAAAGAGGAAACTAGGGTAATAGAACAATGAAATAATAATAATGGAGGTATTGATATTTCACAAGACCAGTTCCTAGGTGAAGAAAAATAGGCTGATTTGCAAAGATAGTTTGGATTTGATGATCACACATTGACTTTATGTCATCTAGTATCTCTGAATGCTTGAGACATGGTTAGAGAATCAGGAATGAGGTTTGAATCATTTACTAAAATTACACAAGCCACCCCCCAAAAGAATTACTGATTTTTTATAAAGAAAGCTTCAGCTATACATAGAATAGCAGCAGATCCAAAAGCCTGACAAATAATAACTGAATCTTTGGTTTTTGTAAATGCTAATTCAAAATGCAAAATGTTGATTAGTTCTTTAAAGGTAAGATCATTAACAGTAGAAGAATGGATTAGAAATATGGCTGATATTGGATCTCACACTTATGATGAAAATTTGATAGAAATGATTTCCAAAAATATTTAAGGATAATCAGAGTGTCATACGTTTTAATTGTGGTAAGCAAGGACATCTGAAAGGGATTATGGGCAAGGTGTTCCTAGAAACATTTTTGTTCTAGAGATAATCCAAACAGATGGCCACACCTTCTAGAGTATGCAGAAGGTATGGCAAAGGTCGTCATTGGACTAATGAGTGCAGATCAACAAGGGACAGGAAAAGTAACCCTTTACCATCAGGAATCACCTTAGGGGATCACTTTCAGGACCAGTTATCAAATTTGGTTCAATCATTCCATGTTAGCAATGGAGAAACTCATCAACAGAGCAATTAGAAGACTTAATGCCTGCTGTTTGAAAATCATACTGTTCTGGATGTGCTCAAGAATACAACAGCTTTGGCAAATCAAACAAAGAATTCAGGAGATACCATAAAAGAAGTATTTTATGAACTTCTGTAAATGATCAGACCAAATCTAAAAATATGAATAAATGGCATTGTAATTGAAGGTTTAGTAGACAGAGGTGCAGATGTAATGATAATTTCACCAAATCCTTGGTATCCAGATTGGCCTCATCAGGAAGTAAATATTCAGTTTCTAGGAATTGGAACTTTATCTCAGGTAAAACAAATAAGGTGGATAGAGTATATGGGACCAGAAGGACATATAGGGAAGTTAAAGCCATATGTAGCTACTATAGCTATGAATTTATAGGAACATGAAATGTTATAGCAATGGAAAACATAGATGAACATTTCTCCAATTTCAGAAGCAAAGCATAAAATAAAGAATGCTTCTGGGAAAAAAAGTTATTATTAAGAACAATCACTGACCACTCAAGCTGTACATAAGCAGGGCACAACAGCTATTGATCTTTTAAAGGTTTCAACAGCGCTATCTTTAAAGTAGTTAACTGATAAACTGGGTAGAACAATGACCTTTGACATCAGAAAAATTGCAGGCACATGGACAGCTGATAGAGGAGCAGCTCAATGTTCAACATGTTGAAAAATCAACCAGTCCTTGGAATTCTCCTATACTTGTCATGAAATCTGGGAAATCAAGAGTGTTGAAAGATTTCGGAGTCATAAACAAGGTGATTCAGCCAATGGGCCTTTTACAACCTGAGATTTCCTTGCCTTCTTTATTAGCTAAAGGATGGTCTATTATAGTGATTGATTTAAAAGACTTCTATTTCACTATAACTTTCCAAGAATAGGATACAGAAAAAGTTGCCTTCACAGTCCCTACTTACATTAATTCCAAGCTTGTTAAAAGGTATCAGGGGGAAATTATTGCACAAGGGCTGTTAAAAAGCCCCACCTTGTATCAATATAACAGCCATTATAAATAATTCATTAACAGTTTTGGGGGTATACCTTACTAGCTTATTCAGACTCAAATACCTTAGAAAAATGTATGATGAAATAAAGAGAATTCTGCCTTGTTAAGAGTTACAAATTTCTCCTGTAAAAATACAAAAAGGAGATTTTATTGATTATATAATTCAGCCACAGAAATTACAAATTAGGAGAGATCAATTATGAGCTCTTAATGATTTTCAAAAATTGCTCAGAGATATTAACTGGTTTGGCCCACAATTGGATTAACAACTCAAGAACTAAGTAATTTATTTCAAACCATATAAGGTGATAGGGACCTAAATACCCAGAGAAAACTATCAACTAATGATGAACGAGAATTGGCTGTGACAGAAAAGAAGATACAGTATATACACGTGGATTATGTGTATCCAAAGCTTGAGGCTGGATTGTGTTTTAGTAATTTTTTCCTTTTACTCATTCTAAAGACCACTGGACAAATGAGACAGCTGAATAAGGATGAATAATCAAGATAAATATCCCAAGAAAAAGTAAATTTCCCAATGGTATAGCACACCTCCAACAGGGTAAAATTTCATAAATCTTCCCAAATGCCTGCTTTTGCTGCTCTGCATAAATATAAAAGGCAAATGGTCCTTTTAAAGTCCCAGTGCAACTAAAAATTAAAGCCAGCTTTGGAATTAGAGTGTGTCTCTCTCCTTCTCTAAACCCAGCATGATTGTTAAAGGAAACTACAAAATCTGTCTCATGACAGAAGAGCCACCTGCTATGGGACAGAAGAAAAACAAAAATAAGGGACTATTCTATTGCCACTAATCTCATAATCCTTTGGTTTTATTTTGATGCTTTTTTCTTAAGGGATAAATATTATCTCAAAATGTATAAGATTATATATACATTTTCTGTTGTGATATTAATCATCATATAGAGTACTAATGAATTTTAGAAATAAGCGTCGTATAGTTTGCTGTATATGTTTTCAGACTTGAGTCTGAAGAAGGTCAGTAGGAGCTAAGTTTGTGTACCCAGGGTTTTATAACAGAGTGTGGCCCTTTGGCTTCTCGTGGATATGCTGCTTATAACATTAAACATGTTTAAGTTTTTTGCAGTGAACCAACTGTTCCTGGAGACCTTTGAAGTCACCAAAAGGATGACGGGGCCCTGAAACAACAAATCAACCTGGATTCTGATAATGCAATTAAAGTAACCATTACTACCCAAAGATTATCTTTGGAGTACAAACTGCTCGGGACAACTTCAAAGTTGTTAGCTAAGCTGGTGCAGTCTCATAGACTACTCTAGCCAGGACTTCAGATAAGCCCTGCATTTTCCCATCACAGAGACTGGACAACAAGTGATAAAGGTGGCTCTCCCAGGACTTGACCATGTTCCCAGTTTTCTCAGGGTCCCCTAAAGATACTATCACCCCCAACAACAGGCAGTTAATTTTAAGAATATGATTCCCACATTCACAAGAGGTAGAATGGGTCATTTTTTGCCATTTGGTAGGTTATAGATGTTTGTCCTTGTTACTTGCAAGGTGTTACTGGTCATGGTTAGTTTATAGTGCTGCTTTTCTCAGAAGTTTTCTTAGATGATTTGTTACTAAGAATTTTCACAAACTGGCTTATTTTTTCAGGTTTCATATGTTGAAAAGTTACAATCAATAACAACTTAAGTAATTCTGACAAGTAAAAATTTTGGGGTTTTGTGATCGCTCAGTAGTTCAGAGCAGTGACTGTTTTTTAGAGACCCAGGTTTGATCTCAGCACCCACACTGCAGCTTTCAACCAAAGCTCAGAGTCTCAGAGGATCCAACGCCCCCTTCAGGCTTCCAAGTGCACTGCATGCACATGGTTCACAAACACATAAGTAAGCCGAACATCCATACACACAATAAATTTTAATAAAAATTACTTTTAGATGAAGTTTTATTTGGATCACAGCACATACCTCAATATAAGTAATTAAATTTGACATTGAGTGATTAGGTTCTGTAGATGTCTATTTTAACAGACATTGTATTAAATCTCATTATAAAGTAAATTCAGTCATTTATTTTCATTACTATGGGAAATTTGGCTTTTTTCAGTAAAGTGGCATTAAAGAGGTTTGCCATAATAAATACTTATTTAATTTTTCCAGTGAAGATTGAAAAGATGTCATTTCTTTTCTACTAAAATAATCAAATAGGCAGCTGCATACTTCCTACAGTTTGTTCATGAGCCGTAAGCTATAGAGGGGTGAGGAAGAAAGGAATGATAATGGTAAAATGGGAAGGACTTTGGAATGATGGGAAGAGACAAAGTCATGTCTTAGTCCATTTTTGCTGCCATAACAGGAAACTAGGTGAGAAGAGACACCCCTGTCTCACACTCTGGAGACTAACCAACGTGCCAGAATCTGCCCAGGTTCTACTGGTGGACCCCAGCAGGGTGGGAGACATCATCCAGACAGAGCTTAGTTTACTCAGAGTCACTGTCATTATCACATAAGTCAACTGCTAATTAATTAATTTAGAGGTGTCAATAAAAAAAAAAAAAACTTTGCATCCCAAGCTATTTCACTACACGGGCCTCTGGTGTCAAGAGTCAAGAGCAAAGACTTTAACCAGGGTTCTACAGTGCAGATGTGACAAAACTTGGAGCGAGAGCACAGATGGGGACACTGCAAACAGTTCTATGCAACTGTCTGCAGATGACTTCATGCACAGAGGCCACACAAGGCCTCTAGCGCCCCCTGCTGGCCTGGGCTTCCTTCTATAGAGCACCTCTCTTAGGCTAGCAAATCTGTGTCTGTGTACATTTACATTTACAGAATAAAGACATCGGAAGTGAGCATCTGTAAGAGTCATAGTGGTTTTAGAGTCCTTGCTTTGTGCCACTGACTGTGCACTGGGAGGACTGACAGCCTAGACAGATTGAGTACAGTGATCTGGTGTGGGTGGTAGTGTCATAGAGATGAGATTCACATCAGGAGTGAGGGCATGGGATTTCAGACATGCGTCAGCATCATCTGGCAGACCCAACGGCTCTCTGAAGAACAGGCGTCAGACAGCACTTCTGCCCCTGAAATGATGGCGCAGCTGCTTTATTTATCCTGGCCAGTGACCTGTAATCTAAAGAGCAAAGAATTGCTTTTCATGTTTAGGATTTTCTTACAACTATTATATCAGACTTTAACTATTCTTTGGAATTTAGAAAATACTGTAGATGACTTAGCGTTTGAGCATAGCATACACACTGGCAAACGTTATAAACACATATGATCATTAAAGACAGAGTTGATAGAAACTTCTAATGTTTTCAGTTGCACCATCACTGAGGAAGAATTCTTACCACGAGAATGTATATCATGATGTACAGAAGGAAGGTTTAGGAATTGAGGATGAAATCTCCCCATTCTACCACGACCGAGCCATGCGATCATGTTAGAAGCATTTTCCTTTGTTGAGCTTCAGTTTCCTTAAATATAGAGGTATCACCAGCTCAAGTTTAGGGAAGGCATTGGGAAGTGCATGAATGTATGACAGCAGTTACACACAGTAGGTGCTCAGGAAATGTATTCGATATACAGAGTTGACATAGTGGATCTACAGAATTAGATACAAAAGGAGCCTCGACTCCCGTGGAACAGAATGGAGCTCCTTCCCGTCTCATCCCAAAGCTGGCGGGTCTTTGTTTGATGACAACACTAGTCCCCCCCACAGAGCTCTTGCAGATTGCTACCGGTGGGAATGAGACCAGAAGTCAGCACTAACACGGGCATGTTTTGTAGCGATTACAAGGAAGGGATCAGTTCAAAACTAGCTGCACTAGCAGAGGATGTCACACACTGTGCAGTAGGTAGGGTTTCCTCACAGTTGTTCCTTTGCCTCTGTTCATTTCTTCAGAGAGCACCTTGTCCCTAAGTAGCAAATTTGATGTCACCCTAATCCCAGCATGCTAATCAAACTATAAACGTCTCTCAACTGGGATTCTATAAATGTCCCTACATTTTATTTTTTCATCCTTTAGCTTCTTCCTTCAGTCTTCAATCTGCTCAAATCAATGACTCCTTTTCAAAAAGCCTTGACAGATGCCCAGGGCTTCCCCAACCACACTTCTGGTGAGGGCTCTGGCATTATTTCACTTAATTCCCCAAATAAACCTAGTTGCAAAAGTCTTACTTTCCCTCTATTTTCATTTCCTGAAAATCAGGGCCCAAGGAGTTAAAATAAATATTTTCTGTGGGTGTGTCAGAGGCAGTCTGTGTAAGAGGGAGAGAGGAAGGTGAGAGAGCAAGGGTATAAGCAAGAGGACAATTTGGGGGGAAGCCTCCTTTTCTACTTTGTTTCTGCCCCTGTGCTGTATCCTGCAGGCTCACTGGCCCAGGTGCTTCTGGGTGACTCTCCTGTCTCCTCCTCCTGTCTCCCTGCAGCAGGGCTGTGATGCAAATGTGGACTTCTGAGTCTGACTTTTTATAAGGGTTCTGTATACTTAAGTCAAATTGTGAAGTTTATAGAGCTAAAGGATTTCCCCAGAGTCATTTTCTCAGCTCAGTACAAACAAAACCAGGAATATCTGACTCTCTTTCTGTTATAGCATGACAGCCTCCAAATGTACCTGGTCACTACCATTATTCAGAACATTGTTTTATCCAGAGTAAAATGACACATTAACTGAGCTAATCCTCCAACTACATACTGCTTCAGTTATCATCATATTTTTTTACAATGATTCAAACTAAGTAGCATTTTACATCATATCACAATTAAGAACACACACACAAACACACATTAACCAAAATCAGTTCACATGAGCACACACACACATACACAATAGAACATATACGAACACACACAAATCAAACCTTGCTATGTATGAAAATATTTTTGAAAGGTAATGTCTATTTTGGTTCTGTGTAGAAAAAATCATTTCATAGTTGCACTATGGTGCAACTATTTTGCCTCAGTTCTAAAGCACTGCTTAAAGATTTCTACATAGTGGCTGGAGAGATGTCTTAGAGGTTAAGAGAGCTTACTGCTCTTGCAGAGGGCCCAGGTTCAAGTTCCATACCCATATAGTAGCCCACAACCATCTGTAACTTCAGTTCCAGGGAATCTGATTCACTCGTCTGACTTGAGTGAGCTCCTGCAAATACATCATACACATACATACACTCAGGCACACACACATAACAAAACCAATAAAAGAAAAAAAACCTTAAATCCTATGTAAGTATAAGAAGTATAAAAGTGAAAAAGAATGAAAAAACTATGCATTCCAGATAGAAATTTTAAAATATTTTATCTCTAACCATAAGAAATTAATAGATTTCCTTTCCTTTAAAACTCCATCAAAAATAAGTAGAAACAAGTGCATACACATACAAACACATACCCACACAAATATACATTATTTTTATAAAGGGTTTATGTCTACTTGTTCATGAAAAGTTTCCACAAATTCTGAAATGGACTTTTCAGCCTACTCGGACATTCTCAAGAATGTATAAACTAAAAAGAATATTCAAGTTTCAGTGAAATGGATGTGAACTGAATATTCAAATTAGCTCATTTAATACTTACATATCAGGACTTAAAACAGAGGCATTTATACACTTCCAGATCTTCTCTGCTGGTACATAATTTAGTCCGATAAAGAATTGCTGTCTTCTTTTCTTTGAGATGTCCTGAATGAATCTCTATAATCAAAACATAGTACAAGACTTCATCTTCAATCTGTTTATTTATGACATATTTTCTCCTACAAACCTTCTAAAACACTGTTATTTCTATTTGAAATCGATCCTAGCTCCCAACCAGCATAACTCTCTCTTTTTCATGAAATTCCTCTCTACTTTTAATTGATTCCTCCCACTATGTTTTGTTATTATTAATTCATACATTCAATTAGTCACTCAGATTATGAGCTGTTTAAGATCCAAGTCTCCACTTCCTCAGCATAAACCATTGTTTAAAGTCCAGAGAGGTCAACACAGCTTCAAGAAAGTGTTATGTTCTACTGAGCAATTTTATTTGTCAATTTACCATATCTCCTTCATCTTCAAGGAGCAACAAAGTGGCTTCTTTCACAAAACAGTCAGCTAGACCTTCAGCCCAAGGTCGGAGAATTTGAGAAATAAATAAGCATTTATCCTGGTGTAGATGCCAGTCTCTTGGACACTTTAGCATGGCTGATCTCCCTAAAGCAAGAAAGAAGACTTGTTTATTTCTGCCCTGTTCCTGCTGCAACACAATCAACTCCACACAGGAGTTGCTGCATTAGTGCATGCTAGAACAAGGTTAATGATACATGGCAAGGAATCCTAATTAATGACAAAGGTTTCATTTTATGTTTCATTTCTATTTATTCACTTCAGACAAAGTAAACTGACCAACATTTTCATTAAATTAACCAAATTCCACTTTTTAACTGGATATGGGCCTATTGGGGATCACGTGCAGTAGCAGCCTGAAGCACCATGACCAGAGCATGGCCAGGTGTCTAAGATCTTAGATGTCAATGTCACGCTGCTTCAGTGTGGTTCCCTGAACCAACACTTACACACCCCGTGACTCCCTGCAAGCTCTTAACATTTTCATGGCTGTCTTTCAGATGGTACCATGGCAATCTAGTGTCCTCAGGGAGGGATGCTGTGCACTTTGAATGAGGTAACACGTTTTCTGTCAAAAATCACCTCTTATTCTCAGGAAATCCAAGCCACGCAGTTAGTTACCTGTTGGTTCAGTCCTGTTCTCTTGATCAGCCACACCGTGCTTTTCGATTGGTGGTTTCTCCATCAAGAATCGCACTAATAAATAAGGAAACACACAGAGAAGATTGAATGATGAAAGGAGTGTTGGAATGGGTATGCTATTTCTCATTTCAGGAAATCAAGTAATTTCAAAAAACCTGAACATATGGACTGAGGATAAAATATCAGCAAACTGGATTAAGGGCCAAGTGTGGAGACAGGATATATGAACCAGAAAAGCCCAGAACACATGGATTCACACAGCTCCGAGGTTGCATATGATCTGATTGAGAAGTCAGTCTGTGGATGTTGCTGAAACCCTCAGCTTGCTCACAGTCACACCTGAGCTTGCTCATCTTCAGTCACACCCATCTCAAGAGAAGGTTTAGCAGGCATGTAATAAGCTAAATATGGGCGCCTTCCAGTTTTCATTGTTATTGTTACCTTTTGTCCCAGTTTGGCTTTTATGTTCTGTAGCTCAAGATGAACACACGCCATATGTCATAATGGTTTTCAGGAAAGTGAAAAGCATGGAAGAATTGTGAAGTTTCTGTGGTGGACAAGAGATGCTGTCCCAAAACATTCGGTGTCATTGACCTTTCCCTAGGTTCAAGGTGGTCAAATGCTATGAAGAGGATTAATGTTTATTGGGGAATTAAGAATCTAAAGCTCTTGCCTCACTTACCTGAGATACTGAGTCCAATCAGGTTCAAGACAAGAAGAATCAGCCCAACACAGCCGAGTTTCAGGGCCAACCTATGCCAGTGTGGGCACTGACTGGCATCTAAGAAGTGCAAAGAATACGCGTGTTGAATCCACTTGAGTACATCTGAGACAAAAGTCAGATGTGGTTTTGTCTCTACATAAGACTCCCCCCTTGACTACACTGCCTTTTACTGTACTCCTGGTAGACTGACTGAAACTGGAGAGAGTGCTACACTCTACATGCACTGCTTTACAGACACACACAACACACACACACACACACACACACACACACACGTGTGCATACACATGTATAGATTTTCCCCATCATTATTCTCTAGACAAATACTTATAACAGCCGTTTACGTGGCCTTGAGATTGTCTTAGACTCCTTAGCGATATGAAGATTACCTAAAGCACACAGAGATCCACACATAGCTCCCGTGCAAACACCACATTTCACAGAAGAGACTTGAACTTATAGGTAGAAGTTCTGTAAGCAATCTTCTGTGGACAGTGAGCAATGCTGTGTGGTCAGAGGTGACACAAGACTGTCATGGAAAGAAACACACAGGCATTGGGCTTCAGGAGCAGAACTGTGGATTGTCATTTCTGCAGTGTAGGACATGCTGTGCTGCTGGAAAAGGAGGCAGGAGCGTGCAGATATACAGATTAAGATACACGGGACTAGGAAAATATAGGTTAATTTTATTGGGGGAGAAGTCGCTTCCGTGAGAAACCAATGACCCACAAGTTCCACCTCCAAGGATCCACACCCAGCTGCTCTCCAGAACCCAACCGGAACCAAGAGAGAGCAAGCCTGTTCAGGACCCCAGACCAAATCCCACAAGCTCAGATAGGGACTAAATGGGCATGGTCAGTGCCACAGGTGAGGCTGGTTGGATCTCTCAGGAGCAGACACCAGAGAACACTGTAAGATCCCCAAAACACTCCAAATATGAGAACAGTATATTTCTAGCAGCCTAGAGTTTCTCCTGAACAGATAGAGTGATTTAGCCTTACATACCACGTTTCTCGTTTAATAGGCTTGTGCCACTTTACTTTTCTCTTTCTTTCTACTCTTGAAATTCCAATTTGTTTTTGAAAAATGCAGCAAGCTACACACAGTCACTACTTTGATGGTTTTTACTAAAGTCTAGTATTCAGAACAGTTTATTTCAAGTTACCACAACATAATTGCCATACAATATTGGGGCAGTATGTTTAAACTTCATAAACCACAAATTTCCCCATATGCAAAATGTCTGGACAGTATCTGCTTCATAAACTTTGGGGATTTATCAAACAATTCCTATAAATTCCAAAGCATAGTGTCTGGAACAGAACACTATTCAATAAACAGTTGTTTTCTTTCTTTCTTCTCACCCTCTGAATGTGTTTTGCTATTTATTTATTTACTTATTTAACTAAAAGTAAAAGACAAAATGTGGGTGACTTTAGAAATCAGTATTTCTTCACCCTAAGCATAATATACTATATAGACATCCTGTTTTGTAAGATGAGTTCTGTATCCTCGTTGAGCTGCTCAGCATATTAGATGGGAAAGAATTCCCATTCATCACTGAAGAGACCATGTGAATATTAGTTTTGTGGAAGTGTCTCTGTGGAGCTTTTATTTTTTATCCACAGAATGGTGCCATCTCCACTGTTTCAAGAGAGAGAGAGAAATTGTGTGTGTTAGTGAATGTGTGTGTGCGCGTGTGTTTAACTGAACGAGTGTGTATCAATGAGTGATTGTGTGAATGTGTGCATTTGTATGAGGTTGTGAATTTGACTGCAGGCATGTGCATGCATTGATGTGTGTGACTGAAGGCGTGTGAGTGACTAGAGGTGTGTGCATGCCACCCCATGAATAGAGGTCAGAGAACATCTGTCATGAGGTGATTCTCTTTCCACCAAAATACTGGTTATGGAACTCCGTTTGTCAGGTTTGTGCAGCAAGTGCTTTCACCTGATGAGCCATCTCACCATCCCAAAGCAATCATTTCAAACTGTAATATAATACTAGAAGCTTAACTGTGGAAGATATTCAAGTACCAGAAGGAGAAATAAAGCCACCTACCTGGGGGAAGAGATGGAGGTGATGCACACTTGTGTCCTGGGGTCCTAAAGGTCTTTACATTGACATAGACTCTTGATGTGTCCATTGTAGCTGTGAGACATGAACTGTGAACAGTGAGAAATCCTGTGAGACCAAAGGACCAAAAGGACATCTTCTGTGAACACTGTGTTCTCCATGTCCATGCCCACCCACAATTGCTGCTGAAGGTTTCTCCACAGTTATTTAACTTGGGTCTATTGTTCCTTCACAGTTGATATTTTTCTCTTTCAAAGAGTATATATAACATGTGATTGTAGCATAAAAACCCAGAAACAGATATTGGGGTTCAAGCTGAAGATCAGAAAAGCAAAGCATCCAAGACACTGGAGAGTTCTTACCTCTACCAAGGCTCAGACAAACAAAGGGGTGATCCTGTCCTCAGGGTGACTGCAGACTGTAATGCTCTCCACCAAACCTCAGGCTGCAATGAGCTCCTGTCTCTTCCTGCCTTATATACTTCTCTCTGCCCAGTCATATCACTGCTGTCTCCACCTCCCTAGTGCTGGGAATACAGACGTGTGACTCCCGAGTGTTAGGAGCACCTTTGTGTGAGTTCTATTTCTCTTTTTTAGACAGATTCAATGTCCTGTAGTCCTGCGATTAAAGACGTATGGCACCACAGCCTAGCCTCTAGTGGCTTACCTCTGTGCTCTGATCTTCAGGCTAGCTTTATTTATGAAAACACAAATAAAATATTACTACATGTCATCTACTGTGGACAGTTTTGTTCTTCCTTTAATCATCCATTTTGAGTTATGCTTTCAGGGCCCAGAATAAATAAAGCACTTAATCTTAAATTAAAATTTGAGGGGTCCCTCCCCACCAAACTCACAGAAATCATTCTGTGTGACATTGTGTAATTAAAAACTGAATGATGAGAAAGCCGCTAGTGCTTTTCATCGTGTTCTGAAGTTACGAAATCCTCCTAAAATAGCCATATTGTGAATATAGCTGTGAAAGGTGGCAATGAGATGAATGTGGTTAAAAACAAAGAAACAAAAAACATGATGGACACAATAGGAAAACCAATGAGGAGGGAGCCTCTCAGCATTGTCCTGAAGGTCCCTGTGGATGAGACAGCATTCACAGTGAAAGTATTTCATCTGTCAGAGCTGCAGAGAGTGGACACGTAGGACTTGGGATGTACTGACTCCTCCAAAGACTTCAAGGCCTAGAGCCTTAGAGCAGGACTACAGATTCCAAGTCAGACATTCTCACGTTACAAGAAGAAAAGCAAGGACTTCCTTAAGGTCACTTTGAGTGGTCAGAGTGGAATTGTCTCAGACACTCACAAGTGCATGACAGCGGCAGCAGGTTGCCAGCTGTGAGTTCTGAAAGACAGGCGGTGCAGTGCATACACAAAGCATTGGGATGGCACTTATCCCCAAGACCACTGGTGATTACAAAGTGGGAAGGAGCGTATGTGAAGTGCTCACAGCACACTTTAGACTCAGTTAAACCTCCTCAGCTGTCACGGATGATAGTCATTTCACTCCAAACCAAGCCTGGGGACCTGCTTCCTGGGGCATCTAAATCTACGATTTCAACCAGTGTTCAATTTTTTCCAGCATTTACCATCTTGGGGTATTCTACACATTTCTAGAAAAATAACCAACTCTGGTGTGTAGAAATTTCAATACATATATTGTAAAGGGTCTTGAGTTTTGTCATATATCACCAAAGGATTCGTTAATGATGCGTGTGCTTGCCACATGAATCCCTTTCTTTGTCAAAATAGCCACAGCCTTACACAGGGAATGTGTGAATAAACATTCCCCGTATTAAGTTCATTCATGGAGCACACTTAAATAAGCAATCCTTCGGCCAATGAAAGCTGTGGGTATGAGTTAGAAATATCAATAGAGTGAAGAGAAGTCTAATGGTCTAAGCAGAAGATCCAGACAATGTTGTGAGGACACTGAACTTGAGCTGTAAGTTCTGAAGCCATCTGTGGCTACTGAGAATCCACAATAGCTCTGCTAAAACTGGCAGGTTGTGGTAAAGTGAACTAACTGGAAAAAACAACCAGAGCTGAGCGTCATTTGTCCAAGTAAGTGTGAAGCAAACTGACCACTTGCTGCTTGCAGACTATCAGGAGGAACACCAACTACTGCACAGTGATGATGCCATGGTAGCTCAGATAAAAATAATGCCTTTCTAAGAAAGAGCACCTTGGAAATTTAGCTGTGCTAATGACGTCCTTCGATTGGCTCATTGTCAGAATGGAATTTTTAAGCCATAAAATGCATCAGGTTTCAGAATTACCATGCTATTGCAAAAATAAAATATATTGGAAGAGAAAAAGACAGACAAAGAATATGAGAGAGATTATAATGTGATATGTGCAAGGATTAGATATCAAAAAGAAATAAGTCAAATGGTAAATGATTATGAATAACCCAGGGTGGTAGAGTGTGGAAATAGTAAAAGTGATATTGAGTGTCTGAAAAGGAAATAAAGAGGGGTTTTAGTTACAAGCCTATTTTGGTACTAAGCCCTTCCAGGTTAATAATGGAAGCTGTGATATATATATAAAAAATATAGTGTAAAATATCAACAGTAGAACTCACAACATTGTCTGAAAACAAATGTCATAATGGAATAATTTTATGAAATAATATAAAACTACGAACTAGAAAGTATTAATTACCATGTAAAAATCCCATGCTTCAGGTTAAAAAGACAAAGGAATCTGGAGACATGATCAGGATGTCTCACCAGGAAGCTATAAGACCTCCTTCTCCAAAGAGGCATTGCTTTAGGCATCGCCATACAGAGCAGAGCACCTCTGTGGACATTTGGGGATGAGCTGGGAAGTTGCAGCCCCAGCCCATTTTAAAACCAAGGAGATGTATTGGTTTTACATACAGAGAAGGGGGTAAGAAAGGGATGCAGAAGATTTATGAGGAAGCATCCCACACTGTTGAGAGACAGACCTATCTAAGGCTTTCTCAGAGGCCCTGATAAAAGGAAAAGGGAACCTAGTTTGTGTCCTTGCCCAGTGGTGAACCTGTAAGGCCAGCCTGGAGCTGGTGATAGGGCCTCAAAGTGCTTAAGGTTTGCATTCCTGGGAACTGGGCTTTTCCCTCAAAACAAACAAACAAACAAAAAAGCAAAATAAATAAAATATAGGAATTATCAGCCCCAAGGCCACTGTGTGCTTGGTCTGCTGTGCTCTTTAGATTCTCCATGTTGTCTTATTTTTTCTTTGTTTGTTTGTTTTTGTTTTTTCGAGACAGAGTTTCTCTGTGTAGCTTTAGAGCCTATCCTGGCACTCGCTCTGTAGACCAGGCTAGCCTCGAACTCACAGAGATCCACCTGCCTCTGCCTCCCGAGTACTGAGATTAAAGACATGCGCCACCAACGCCCGGCTCTCCATGTTGTCTTTGTGCATCACTGCTTGGTTACCTTCTTGCTGACTTCATCCCATTGTATAATAGCTTTCCTCTGACTCTGTCCCATTTCTTCCCTGGATAGAATGTAAGATGCTGTATTTCTTAACAAGCTTGCATGCCATAAGACACAGCTTCTGCAAGACCTCCCAAACTCATCTTATTTATCTCTAATCCCCTGGACCTTCTTTCTTAGGACCTGTCACCTGCTGGTCAGGGTCACCACAGAGAGGCTCGTTCATTTCAATGAAACAAAACAATGGGCATGAATGGAATATTCAGGTTTGCTTGGGGATACCTGAGAATTGTTTTAATTCAGGTATCATTGTCATAATTGGATTGTCCATGGGCTTTTTACCAGTTGGAGCCCACATACAATACAGAAAAGCAGCATGAGTGAGGCACAGTTTGCAGACAGACAGTAGGGAGAGAGAGAGAGACAGGTAAATAGGTTTGAGAAATAAAACAACATGAAACTGAATAATTTTCCTACTGCCCATCCTTGAGGGTGGGCTTCCCCCATTTTTCCTTCTTGTACCTCTCCCCAACCACTAGGACTTTGGGCCTGGAAATCTTTTTTTAAATTTAAACTAAAACAATCTTATTTTACATACCAATCCCAGTTCCCTCTCCCTCCTGTCTTCCCCACCCCACCCCTCATCCACTCCTCAAAGAGGTGAGGCCTCCCATGGGGGATCATCAAAGTTTGTCACATCATTTGGGGCAAGACTGAGGCCCTCCCCCATTTATGTAGGCTGAGAGAGTATCCCTCCATAGGGAATAGGCCCAGAAAGCCAGTTCATGCTGTAGGGATAAAAACTTCTTCCACCTCCAGCTATCCCATAGAATACCCAAGCCTCCCAACTGGCACCCACATTCAGGGGGCCTCATTCAGTCCTACACTGGTTCCCAGCTGTCAGTCTGGAGTCCATGAACTCCCAACTTGCTCAGGTCAGCTGTTTCTGTGGGTTTCCCCAGCATGGTCTTAACCCCTCCAGGAGTTTTGGTTCAGTGCTTAGCTGTGAATCTCTGCTTCTGCTTCCATCAACTACTGGATGAAGGCTCTAGGATGGCATTTAAGGTAATCATTAATCTTATTATAGGGAAAGGGCATTTAAGGTAACATCTCCACTATTGCTTAGATGCTTAGTTGGGTCACCTTGTTTTTTCCTTGGAATTTCCTAGTGCCAGGTTTCTCATTAAGCCCATAACGGCTCTCTCTATCACAGTGTCTCTTTCTTTGCTCTTCTTCTCAGTATGGCAGTTTCTCAGGAAAATGGGAATCGATTTACCACAAGACCCAGAAATTCCACTCTTAGGCATAGACCCAAGGGATGCAAAAGGACATCTGTTCAACCATGTTCATAGCAGCATGTTTGTAATAGCCAGAACCTAGAAGCAGCCTAGATGCCCCTCCCATGCTCCCAGTGTACACCCAATGTAAGATGGTCTCCTAAACTTCTTTACTTTCTGTCCCCAGTGTATACCTGTCCAAGCAGATTGCCAGTCACTTGGAGACTTCAAATTACTCTAAATACAAATCAGTGAGCCCTAGTCTTGCTGAAAGCTGATATAAACTAGATTCTTCTAATGGACTTTCCAAGCAGCCTAAACCCCTTGCTTGGACTAGAACTTCCAGACTGCTTGAAAGCTGCCTACGATTCATTGCTGCT